TGAAATATTTTTTAAATGCTTCCAAGGTTATATAATACCTAAACTGAAAAGAAAAGGTACAGTAAGTTGCCCTTAACATGACTATGGCACTTGATTGCCTCAAGATCTGACAATGTGATATAGTTTGACATACAGTAGTTGGATCTCTGAATATTTTTGTGTCTTGCAAATGCAGGTTGACAGCAGTACAATGAGTGACAGCCCACAGGTGAACAGCTGTAAAACTGTCCGATGGGAGGGGCTTCTTGATCCAACATGACTGCTCTGACTGTGACAGACAGCACAGCAATCAACAAGTCTGGTTTTGGATTCAGGGTCATCATTCCTGCCTTCACACACTCACCATCCCATGTCAGATTTGTTTGGATCAGCTCAAGAAGAACATACTGCATATTGAACCACAGACACCAAATTTGTACCAAAAGAGCAGGGCCCTACCCATTTAGGATGCATAATTTTGACTCTATCCAGCTCATGTCTTGGGAAGTGCCTCAGTTACAAGACCAAGTGAACCTGTGAAGACTTCTAGCATTCAATAGCACTGCAAAAATCAAAGAACTGAATTGACATTTTAAGCTTTGCCTTCACTAGAAACGTTCAGGCTTATATTATATATTATATTTTTCCACTGGCAGATATTTCAGAATAAATCTCTTCAAATAGATCTGCAGATATGTTCCCACGAGGTGGCCTTTAAGTAGCATCATATATCCACAAATACCCAAGGACATTCCTAAGTTTCCCCCTGACTTCCACTCCCTCTCCCCAACCTGTAAGTCACTATCACAGATCATTGAGCCATGCATCTCAATGAGGGCCAGATTGATTGGTTGGAGCGGAGCAGAGGCAGGGTTCGATCTTTGCCCTCGGGTCCTGAAAAGGGAAATATGGTCACAGGGACACAGTCGCACAGCTACCCAGTCTACTCTTCATCAGCGAGACAATTGGACACATTCATGCTGAGCCACGCCTGCACCTGATGGAACAATTGCAGTGACTAATGGAGAAGGTGAGAGAGAAAGAGTGAGAGGGAGAGAAACTGGGGGTCTGTGCGTTGATTGACCTGTGGTCAGAGAGGTTATGCCCATTGATCTGTAGGGCAGAGGAAAAGGACTTGGGCCTGAGGTGCTTCAGAATGAGTCTATTTGAGGTTTAGGATTCCTGTCCATTCCCAACAGGAGCTTTTTCATCACCTAACTCCCCAGGACGTACTGCTCTGTCTCTCGTTGTCCATGTAATGCACAGAGCACTACAGAGGCCAAAGGCCAATCAATGTTCTACAAGAGATTGATACAGATCTTATTAGTCAATGAATGATCATTAGTGGTCTAACGAGGCATCGATTTGTGCAAGGGCCAAAGGTTGTGGTGGTTGTGGTGAGTGTCTTTAATACATTAAACACAAGTGATTGCATAGAAGGAGGGATATTTTTGAAGGATGCTGGAATTAGATTGGACAGTGAGAGAACTGAGGTCAAGCCATAAGAGGAAAACATACCTTCACTGGCCACTGAATTTGGTTAGGATTGAACATGGAGCCTCACAGCACATTTGTCTTTTATGTATCACCAGTGTAGCAATTCTGCAATTAATAAAAAGCAGATATCTAGAAGTACTAAGTCAAAAGCAACTGGACTTGCTGTTTTAAAGGCTGAAGCAGGAGCCTTTGAAAGCTGAGGAAATGACTCTGCTCATAGCAGATGTGTTACTACAGGGCCTATTATGTTGCTCATTAAATACCCAACCTCTCAATGGGCCATTATTTCCCCAGTAAAAAAAACAAACGGCGTCTTGCATACTTTCCCCTCTCACCCCCTCCACTTCAGAAGTTAGCTCTACCTCACAGACTGCAAAAAATCCTGACTAATATCCTGCATGTGATGCTTTTAAATAGGAAGCAGGCCGTGGGATAGGGTGCGGTACAGGTGTGGCAGGAGCCAGAGGCTTTTATAGCCTTCTGTCTCCTCTGAAGGATTGCCAAGGTCCTGCCTACACAACCCACCACAACAGTGTTAGCTGTCACACATTAACTTTACTCTCCCTGCCAATCTCTGCATACCTACTGGCTATATAGAGTCGGCGTGTTATAGCTTTATAGAGGGATTTCTTATGTGCTTAGAGAATTGTTTGATGACTGGGATAATGACACCAGTTGGAGTGAGTTGTCTCAGCACTTTATTGCCAATGAACACAGAAAAACACAAACCCACCTGATGCAAAACAAGCTCCACATCTTCCCCAGGATGCTTGCTTTTACCTCCCCCTGCCATTCAAAGCCATCCAATCCTCCTCACGTCAATCAGAATTATATCACGTCCACAGGTTTGTCACCGGGGAGATGTTCGTCATCATGTCTCCCCTGCAGAACAGCCTTTTCATGCCCCAGCATAATGTCAGCGGGTGACATCCAGACCTGATGTGATGTGGCATTCACTAAAGGTCATGTTAGGCATGTCTGCTTCGTCTGCATCAGCAGAACTGGCAGCCGTCATATGGGTGCTGGCGTCGGCCATTACCCGGGCCCTCAGGGGGGACTTGATGTTTAGAAGATTTGTCAACAGGATTCTGATCTCTCTGTTTCAGTGGCAAGTACTGAACCCAGGATCATCACAGTGCTTGATGCAGAACAACAGACAGTGGATTTCACCATCAGTCATACAAGGGGAGAAGGAGGGCCACAATATCTCGCTTTGCTTCAAAAGATGAACTTTACTATCTCACAATTCTTTTGCGTTAGGGGCAGAGACATATCACAGCATTTTGATGGGTTACTCCCCTCAGGGGTGTGATCTCTTCAAATCCAGGGGGAGATAAGCCAGCTATTGGTCTCAGGCATGTTTGTGTAAGCTCATCTGTGCAATTCCTTTCTGACAGCAGCTGTATATAAATTTATTTATTTTCCATGCCAGTCCAATTCAGATTTTGAAAATAGTTTAATCAATTTTGAAGTGACCACAAAATAGGGACAAGAATGTGTTATTCTGCACCACACATTTTGATTTACAGGAACAAAACAAATATAGCCAAATAATCACCTTCCCAAGTGGGAAGAAAGCCAATATCCAAAAGGCTGGACAAATGCTAGGCGGTCAGGAAAGGACAGGATGAACTGGCGAGACACAAAGATGGAAATAATCAGAGACACAGAGACAGTGAATCCATTAGAAGTTCCACTAGAACAGCTCGGTGAGAGAGGACCAGTCCATCCGAGCCAGTTGCCGTAGTGAGGGAACAGATAACAATCCCCACAGGCAGGTTTTACAACCCCCTGTTGTGTGTCTGAGACCCCCCAGGCTGAAGAGGGTCTGAGGCGGACTGATACTGACAGGGTTTATGTGGTTGGGGGCGGAGGGCAGCAGGGGGATGGAGATGTGTAAAAAGGTGGTCATGAACCAACAACTGTCGCTTACAATAGCACAGCAGCAGCACAGAGTTAGGCCTCAGCAAAAGTATGCACACACACATATGCACACTCATCCATGCATTCAAGCGCGCATGCTTGCTCCCACACCATTAAATCTAATGTCTGTGTGGTGTAGAGGTGAAGAGGCTGTAGTTGGAGGAGGGAGGGGGGGCTTATCCAAAAATTGGACCAGTAAAACACCTGAAAATCAAATCCCTTTGCTCTTATCATGGCGCCATTCAGAGACGTTATCTGTGCAGGTAATGTGGTTATAAATTCAATTTCAGCACAGAGATTTCATTGTTTACTGATGCCTGCATGTTCCGGGCGGCAGAGCGCAGAAAGCCCGGGAACGCTCGATGCGTGTCGGGAAAAGTCATTTAGGCCTCTGCGAGGGATGCAAAAAAGGCGAGGGGGGGGGGACCAGCAGACCTGTCACTCTCCCAAGGACACCGAACTCCGTTTTCTATTTCCATCCCATGTTTTATTTAGAGGCCATTTTGTCCTATTTGGTTCTTCATTAAGGGGCTCATAGCTCAAGTGATGTCAGCAGACGGCATTTGCCAACAGACAAGCTTGTCATGTTGCTGGTCATCTGGGACAAAGTGTTGGTCCAGTGTCTGGATAATAGGGAAGTTCAGTTCATGATGCTCCACAGTGAGGGGTCAGAAGTACTAACCTGTTTGTAATGTCCTATATTAGGAAGAGTTGAATTGTGATTGCCAGCCCTGTCATTTGCCTTCACTTGACTGTGTGGTGATGGGAAATTAGGTGCATCTTGCCTTCTAGCTCTCTACATGTGATTGATGGCTTTCAGGAGTAAAACACCTCATCTACTAGGTAAAATCTTGATATAGTAGAGCTCCTCAGGCTCCCAGCTGGCTGCTTATGGCAGTAATCCATCAGTGGGGTCCAATGGGCCAAGCGGCCCTCCTGGGTAATGTTCCTATTGACAGCCTATGATGTCAACGCACTGACAGCAGGGGGGGCCATAGCATAGCATAGTCTCTGTGTGTGTGCAACCTTATTTTACTTTTTAATTTTATTACTCTTTTGTTTTCCCTTGCCTCTGAAAGTGAAGTAAGTAGTGTCTTGCTTCAGCCACCGCAGTGGAGTATTTGTACACTGTTGTACTGCTACTTTTGCTGAATAAAAGATCTGAATGTTCCAATTGTGACTAATCAGTGTGGAATTGCCTTATTATTTTTTAGTTAAAATGCTGAATTTTTTTTGTTGTTGTCTCTTCTTTTTCACTCACTATTGTTCTTATCAAAGACACTTTATCTTTGTGATGTGGACTCATACATAAATCAAATTTTCAGGAATTACTCTAAATGAAAGCAAGTCTACAAAAACAAACAACAAATAACATCTGCGTGACTGTTTAATAAAATATTTTGTTGTTTGAGTGACTGAGAACGAGAGCAGCCAGTAGTTACCAGAAAAGAAATCACATCATCCCTCCATAGTAAAGCACAATGTTTTCTGTGGCACACTTCTCTTCACTACCTCTCATAGCCTCACAGACCAGGATAATGACCATGACACAATCTTTCTTCTATAACCTCCATTATCATTCTCATCCCTCTTCTCCTCAGGTAAGGTGAAGGGTCTCTATGATGCTCAGGCCCCAGTGTGTCCGGTCTGCAAAGCCATACTGCGACCTGGGGAGCTGCAAGACCACATGGAGCAGGAGTTAGCTAAACTCACCCAACTACAAATCAGGTATCACACTCACTTTGTCATCTGATTTCACTCCCGCAAACCCATTAAATCTTCTCTATCTTACTCTGTTCTTTTTATTTTACATCATAGAACTTAGATTTTTAATGGCACTGCTGAGGGTAACTTGCTCTTTTCTTCTGCCAACCGTTCTTTTACCTTTTCACTTCTCCCATTTATCCATTTGTCATGTTCTCGCTTAATATTCTGTTCAGTTTTGCGGTAATAATTAATGTCGACACATGCTGTAGCTACAGGGAGCCCCTTTCAGTTTCCCCAGGTGGTAGCGCCCACCTTCTCTGTCACCTGCGTGCAGTGTTTACAAGCTGCCTCATTGTTTCCTACATATTTCATATTACAGCCTCCAGCCTCAAGGCGACAAATCATACAGCGAGTGGATAATGTCCTGCTAATGGCTGCTTTGAGTCCTACCCACATGCACACTCACACAAAATATACACACAAAGAGCAGAGGTGCACACACACACACACACACACACACACACACACACACACACACACACACACACACACACACACACACACACACACACACACACACACACACACACACACACACACACACACACACACACACACACACACACACACACACACACACACACACACACACACACACACACACACGTTACCTGCTGCTTAAACCAGAAGAATGATTCCTTCAATAAAGACATTAAACTCCAAATCTGCTTAACGACCGCTCCGTGGACAGTAATGGTTTCAAATTGAACTTGGCCCACAGGGACGCTGTATGCTGTATGTGTGTTATGTGTGTGTGTCACAGAGACATTGTGGTGGTGGTGGTGGGGGGGTCGACAGTAAATGTGTGATAGACATAAAGTGTGAAGGAGCAAAATGAGATTATACACAGACTCAGATCAAATTCAGACAAGATAAAAGCAGAGGTTTTTATGAGATGACATTTAAAGGATAACATTGTGTTTGTATATTGAATTGGAGGATAGTGTAGTTGATTTGAGTGTGTGTGTGTTGTGTGTGACTTTATATTTCTAAGGTTGTTTAACACACAAGCTTCTGTATTTGCCTCTCTCCTCTACAGTGTCACTCCAGGGCAGCATGACCACCTCATTAGGACCCCAAAGGTAAACATGACTGTAATGTCTTCATGAGGTTCGGTAAATAACATCCACCACTACCACCTTTCCTTTGACTCTTTATCTTTGCTCTCATTTTTTCTGTCCAGTGTCTTTCTCTGCATATAAAGCATGAAGGAGGTTCTCCCACCTCAACTCCTCGTCCAGCTGAGGACACCCACTCCGACCGATACCAGGTGAGGTTAAAAAATGTGGAAACCAATATCAGATTATCACGAGTTTCAGGACGACAGGATGACATGGTCGTACATGTGTCTGCGCTTCTACATGGGACTTAGATTTAGTTGTAAAAATAGAGAAAGGCAACTTGCATTTCTTAAAGATGTAGAGACACTTTAAAGAGTCAAAACAAGAGTATTTCTTAAACTGAGGGTGGATTAAGAATTAAGAAATTAAGACTTACCAAAAATATAAAGCAATATGTAATGTAATGTTATTTGTCAGGTTCATAGTGCAGTATAGTGAATCAGAGAATATACCTGATTCTGTATGCACACTCCAAAATGTATGCATGTAATACTTTTGATTCGTGCACTAAAAGAGCTCTGGACAGCTATTACTTAGCAACATTTTAAAAGCATAGTTTTTCTCTGGTGTGTTGCCGGTGACTGCAGATGTTAGGCAGTATACTTTGTTCTGTAGTAAAGTGTTACACCTGTAAATCACAAGAACTAGCACATATAGAGATTTGAAATGTTCCTACTATTAAATGTGGCAATGAAAGAACTGTTGTTTGAATGCAACATGAATAAAACATGAAAGATTCATTCTTCTGTTTGTTGCAGACATTTCTCCGTGTGCGGGCGAACAGACATACAAGACTAAATGGTACGTTGGTGCATGCAGAGTGAACTCGTGTTTCATTGCCACTGGCTCAGCTTGGCATTAATAGACAGTTTAGTACAACAGTCTCAGTCAGGTTTGCAGTTTAAATGGCTTTAAACTTAAAAACGTAAGCAGTGACAGTAGAGTTTTTTTTTTGATATTCCAATTTCCTGTGTTCATGCTGATGCGCCCAGTTGTGTGTTTCGTCCAAACCCCCCTCCCCTCCTCCCCCCTCCTCACCAGTCGCTCAAATATCACCCTTTTCCCATACCATCTCCACCGGCCTAGCGCCCACACGAGCAGAGGAGCTATTAACCCTTCAGCTTTGACCTCTTGATATGTTAACAGTTGATGACCTCTGCTGGTGCAGGTGCTATGTCAAATCTGCCCCATTACGCCCCCACAGCGCAGGAGCTCACCTAGACTGCACACAAGCTGGTAAGACACACCGCGAAGCACTTTTTAAAAAAAATGCCCACGATCATTTCTTTTAGCTGCCACGCCCTGGATTTAAACTGATAAAAGTGTGAATACAGGAATGTTTTTGATTTTTCTATAATGGCTGCATGAATTTGTCACAGAGTTCTGAAACTATGCACAACCAAAACAGCAACATTATTCTAATGCTGGAGTCAATGAAATAAATGAGTTTGTTGACAGAAAATGAATCATCTGTATGTTAAGTTATCCATTAAGCAAAAATCCCAAACATTTGCTCATTGCATTACAGATTAACAGGGATTTAAAGCAGAAGTCATTCATAAGTACTTTTATTAATTTGTTATCTGGTGTAACTCAATTTGTTATGTTTCTGTGAAAAACAAAATTTTCAAGGTGTGATTTCTTATCAGATATCATTATATACTAACATTTAAGTACTTTGTCATGGTTACATGAGTAGAAGTAGAAGTGCTGTTCATGTCACAGCCCTGCAGGACGGTGCCAGGTTGTGAAAAAATACACTTAGCTACTGTTTATCCTCCTCTAGCATAACACTTACTGTTTTACTTACTCGCAGTTGTAAATGTCAGAAGTTCATTAATAAAAACTTATTTCCATAACCTATCAAGTGATGATATAAAGTTTAAATTGGAGAAGGAATTGTTTTACAAACTGGCAACCCAATCCTATATATTTATATATACACAGTATATACAATATAAACTCCCTGGTCACTTTTGCTCATGTAAGCATTTTAAAAGTCATGTGACAGTGTGATAAAGACATACATAGATCTACAGATCATGCTTAAAGCTGACACTATGGACATCACGCTGCTGGTATTATTACCACTGAGATTCTCTGGCTCTTAGCTGACTCGTCAAACCACCAGCGCTGTCGAGGTCTGTTAGCCTTTATTGGGTCTTATAACAGGACAGCATAATGAGCTTCTAAATACACGCCAGGGAGAAAAAGAAAGAGGAAGGGAAGAGGAGAAGGAGGAGGAAGAGGGGGTTTTCTGTTGATTAATCAACCTCTCTCTCCTTTCTCTCTTTGATGAGTTCTTCCCAATCTATGACCGTCTCTTTAACCCTCATTATGTTCGCTGTGATGGTGGCACTCGGGTCACGGCCACCAGCTCTCTGTGTATCTCCTTTCAGGAGGCCACTGTCATCTATCAAGAATTAAAGGGCCCTAAAACTTAATGTCCCCTTATGCAATCTACAATCAGTCAGGTCGCGGCGGGAGAGGAGGTGCAGTTGGTGTTCTGCCATGTTAACTTTAATATCAGAGAGGAAAGAGGGGGGAGGAGGGGGAAGATGGCAGGGTCGGGATGGGAGGACCGCTCTGCCTCTGCTGATGGAATAACATGTTGTTGTCACTGTGTATATGAAGTCCACATCTGTGTTTCCTGCTCTTACAGAGGAGGTAACTGTAGCTCTGTGTGTGAATGTGATCAGCTTGTTATGTGACTGTGTTACAGGTTAGTCCACTTGTAAACCGTACATTTTGTGTTACAGTTTTTAACACCTGGTGTGGCATAAGATGGTTGTTTCAACCATTTAGAATGGGCAGGATTACTATTTATGACAGTGAAAAAGAAATGCCAAACCTTCCTCACAGCAGGACAAAATGACATAATGCAGTAAATTGCTGCAGTAATTAATTTCTAACTATGTTATAAATCCCTTCTCTTGCACCCTTCTCATGCTCCCACTCAGTTTTTTTTTTTTGTAAAATCCCATTCACTCTGTGACTTCCATTACAGACTCTTACTTTTTTCTGACCTTTGATGTTTTTTTTTGTGAGAGAAATAGACAATTCACAAACATTTTGGGCAGAAAGGACGACAGCACAATAAAGGAGTGAGGAGGGAACAGTCTCAAGTTTGAGGGTTCAAAAATCAAAGATGAAAGTAGAACCAACAAAAGATCACTACTTGATTAAAAAAAGCAATGTAAACATAAAGTCACTTGACGTCCATTTAATCATCTGTCTGTTCCCAGTCAGGATCAGCAAGCTGAAGAGGAGGAAACCAGGGGAGGGACAGGTATGGGCTTTATTTTTCTTTGAGTGAAAGACAGATCCAAATATTTGTTTCCTTGACATTTTTACAGTAATCTGAGATGAATATATATAAGATGTAGAAGGCAGGTTGAGAGACTGTTGGTGGTCTGAACCTTCTCACATTGCTGCCTTTGTTCACCAAGCATCAGGGTCACTGTCAGCTTGGTGCGTATCCATGAGAAAACCCTGCCCATGTTGGTTCACAGCTATGACAACAGTCAAGCAGATACACATCGCTTGAGGCTGTGGGATGCATAAGGACACCGGACAAACAGCATGTGTATGTACATCTGTGTGCGTTCTAGGAGGGTTTGGCGGACTTGGTGCCATTGGAGGATGAGTGGAATGAGAGGAGAAGGATACAGATGACTTCTGTAGTTGGAGGGTTCAAAGGTAAGCATCGGTCTGTATGTGCTGTAAGTTTGTAAGTATGTGCTATCAGTGTCCCTGCTGTGGTCTTGTTCAGTGGAGGCTGAATAATGTGACTGAGTGGTTGAAAAACCGCTGAACTTTTCGGTGCAGATTACAGTGGATCAGGATGCCTTGAAGGTTCGCTTAAAACTGACGGTTTTCTTTACCCAAGAAAAATGCTCTGACCGGCAAACTTGTTACACACCAACTGACAGAAGCAAGCAAACATTTTGTGACTTTAGATAACAGAACAAGCATCTTAATTCAGTGCAGAGGCTGTTAAAGAAGGATTTCCATATGAAATGTCTCATCAGGTGCAATGCTGGTTAGCACAACCTCTAAGGAGTGTCGAGACAGCGATGCCGACCTGGACGTGGATGGAGACGATACTCTGGAGTACGGCAGAGCACAGTATCCTTTACATCAGACACAGTGAAAGAACACAGCAGTTTTATGTTTATATTGAAATGTAAGAATCAAGAACAAGTGTTTAAACTTTAAACCAGTAGTAATGCTAAAGAAATTCTTACCATCCACAGTTTGTAATCAGTGACACTGGCAACAACAGCCTTTGGAAAGTTGGCCTCAAGTAAAAATAAAAGTACCCGGAGAAAGTTTAACTTGTGCCTGAATTAGAATTAGAAGTATGATGTTTCTCAAGATTTGACAAGCTTTATAAATTCCTTTTAATTGTCCAGTTTTTCTTAAGTTTACTTCACAGATACACAGAGACAGATGTGATCCCCTGTTCAGGAGAAAGCTCCAAGGAGACAACACTGAAGTATGTATTCCGCCTTTTATTCACGCTGGATGTTCAGTTAGCTATGAAATGATCATGTTCCTTTTTTCATCACATATATATATGTATATATTTTTTTCTCTGTTGTCTTTTTCCAGCAGCAGCAGCAGCAGCGTGTTGCCCGACTCTAGGATGAACCTAGACTTTCCCAAATGGTCAAATGACGGTGAGTTAAGCAAACTTTGAATGAAAGAATTAAATAATGACTCTTCACAGTTATATAAGAAGGTTTTGCAGTAGGGCGGCACAGTGGTATAGCGGTTAGCATTGTCACCTCACAGTAAAAAGGCTCTGGGTTTTAACCTTGCAGCAACCCAGGGCCTTTCTTCCTGTGCCTGTGTGGGTTTTCTCTGGGCTCAGGCTTCCTCCCACTGGGCTGTGGATTAGGTTCACTGGTGACTGAATTACCCAAAGGTGTGAGGGTGAGTGGTTGTCTGTCTCTACATGTCAACTCTGTGATATACGGGTGGTCTGTCCAGGGCGTACCCTACCTCTTGCCCAGTGTCAGCTGGGATTGGTTCCAGCCCCCCAGAGCAACTACAGAATAAGGGCTTTAGATGTTACTGAGTTTTGTTGTTTCTTAATAATTAGTCCATTATATCTGCATCTGTGTGTTTACTCAGGGAGTCCATCTACCAGCAGTGGAGAAAAAGTACATGGCAGCATAGCTGGTCTCCCCAAAACCTGCAAAAACACTGAGATAGAGATGTAAGTTTGTACTCTGTGATCACTTCAGTCTCACAGCACATGACAAACGTGTCACACATTATGTCGACATCCTTACCATGAACAACTCAACATTTGTGATCACATACTGTTGTCTTTTAAGTAATGTGTTGGATTTAAGGCACTTTCAGTTTTTTGTCTTGAAATCTCACATGGCTTGACCCCGCCAGGAGTGACACAAAGTTAAAAATTGATCAAACATCAAAACAAACAAGTCTGTCTGTCAGTTTTTAAGGTCTTGGTGTGGCGCTCTGCGTGTCGTAGCAGTTCAGATGAGCTACTCCTGCTACCATCAGCATGATACAATATTATGTGATAATGTTATCAATCAAGGTCATAGCGGGCGACGCACTGCATGTACACACATTTCATCACACTTAATGCATTGTAGCCCGTCTGCCTCGATGTGCACTATGTCAGCGCACGCTGTATAGTCTGAGTGTGTCTGTGTATATATCCATCTTTGTGAGGACCCTGATACCTGAACCCCACACTCACCCACACACACACACACCCTCCTCTCCACCTATGATAAATGAGACAATGAATGTGGACAATGTGATTGCCGCTAAATTTCATGCTCAGTGTCCATGTTGGCCAGCGAATAATTTAATCTGTCTTCGATTTATAAATGACTCTCCAGTGTCTGCCTAAATCACACACCCTCCTCTCTCCCCTCCTGTTACTGTCCTTCTGCGTGTGTGTGTGTGTGTGTGTGTGTGTGTGTGTGTGTGTGTGCAGACTCTCAGAGGACTCCACACTGACAACTCTGGACGCACTTAAAGCTCGAATACGGGATTTGGAGAAACAGTTGTCTAAAGGAGACAGATTTAAATGCCTCATCTGCATGGTGAGTATGAAGGCAAATTACAGCGGCAGAGCAAACACGGGAAAGAGAAAGAATCGCGCAATAATGCAAAAATTGATGATACTCCTGTAGTGACCTATGTTTTGGGCAGTAAATCAATATTGTTGATTTTAAAATTGAATATAAAAATAATCATTTGTGCTGTTGTTGTCCTTTTTGTTTTGTTTTTTAAAAACTGTGAAAACTATTTAAGTAATATTATTTGAAATATTAGGAAAATGTGTTTGACATCATGCTTCATGACCACACAAACGTTCACATAAGTCTCTGATGTATATTATATTATCAGTATTATAATTGTCTGCATTATTTTAATTTGGATTTATATATAGAAAACAAGTCTTGATCTTTTTTTTCAGAATTTCAGTCTTGAGCTGGAACAATTAGTCAGTTAATCCAACAGGTGACTGACAGAAAATGATTCAGTATATCTTAGCCATTAAGTAATTTATTGAGTAAAACTGCCACACAGTCTGCTCCTTCCAGATTATTAAATGTGAGGATTTACTAATTTCCACTACTTTATATCATTGTGTAGGACAAAGACACCACCCAAAGACATTTCCCTTGCTTCTGACAATTTGTGATGAAAGATTTCACTATTATTTTTTATATTTTGCAGAGGGAATGATTAAATGATCACTGAAAAAATGTGTATCTACAATGAAAATAATCTCTTATCTCTGGTATCATCTAACACATATGTTGTACTTATTCACTTACAAGCCTACAAACAGCTCTATAACCACACAAAACCTCAGGTAAAAAAATACACACAGTTAAGTGATTAATTAAATTCTGTTCCTTCTGTGTGTGACTTCTTTGTGTAGCTAAAGCTGCTGTTTCCTGGACTATGATCAGATTTTAAATGCACTAGTCTTGCTGACTCCATACTTATGTATCAAAGGATGTAAATCAAAGAGGTTTAATGTGAAGGATATTTGCAGAGAATGATGAGAACAAATCAATAAACGCATCAAGTAGAGCTTTCCTGTTGTTAAAAAAGCTTTGATAAAAGTTCAATCGCCAGCTGCGATGCTGTTATTTTAGTTTTACGTGGACATCTAGTGGCAGGGTTTTGTACTGCAGCTAAGAAGCCCTCAGCTGTGTTGTGTCTGCTTCTCTCTGCAGGACACGTATACGACCCCACTCACCTCCATCCAGTGTTGGCATGTTCACTGCGAGGAATGCTGGCTTCGAACGCTGGTAAAACCTTAATCTTGATTTTAATTTGTTTAACCATAAAAACCAAGCTAAATGCCCAGAGCATGTTTGAAAAAAGTGTGATTTTTATTCTTCAGGGAGCTAAGAAGTTGTGTCCTCAGTGCAACACCATCACCTCACCTGGAGACCTGAGGCGGGTTTACCTGTGACTCAGCCACAGGGGAGGGGCTTCTTCCATTTTAAGGGGTGGACTTGTGGACAGCTGGCCTGTCATAGACTCCTGCCTTCCTCATCCTTCTCCTCTTCCTCACACCTTTGTGGACCTTTCTTTTCAATAGTGAACTCCTAACATCCACTAACCCCTGACAATTTGAAGAACAGCAGAACCTCTGACCGTTATTTACAACCCTGTACAAAATTCACATTCCTGAAAGAAACATTTAAAACCAGAGCTCAGGCACTGAAAAACAACTTTTGGGATAATATTTATTGATTTTTTTAACCCCTTTACCTGTTTTATGAGAGAAAAGTCAAATCAAAGCACATGTACATAGCTTTGTGTATGTTTGGATTGGCGTGTGTGTATATGACATTGACTAGCAGAACAGCTCGACTGTATTTACTGTACAAAGTTTGCCTTTAATTTGAAGCTTTATTATTTGTTTAGCTCCCCTAGGTGGGAAACATTAACAGTAATCTCATCATGTTCACGCTCATTTTGTCTTTGCCAAAAATGTGTTTTGTTGTATAAACTCATTAAATCTAATTTTAGCAGTGTTACTACAATTAAACCTATGTCTAAAAAGTTTCTGTTTCATAAAATCTTTTAACTGTGGGGATGACATAAATATTCACCGGTTGAATTTGACCTCAATGGAAAAGCAAATATCTCAGAATGTTTAGTCCTGTTGACTGTGTTATGATGACTCTGTGTGGTGTATTCACCTTTTAAGAAGTGGGTCGGGGCAGGATTAGCCAGGCAGAGCCAATTGTTGGTCATCTGGAGACGAGGGACACTGAACCATGCTGTTCTGAGAGACAAAGACCACGTAACCATGGACACTACGAGGGTTAATCACATCATGCAAAAAAGGAAAACAGCACAAAAATGTAGCATAAAGGAAATGGATATTTTTAGCAGCAAAATAATATAAATCTTAAGCAGTTTTAAACTATATGGTTGAATAGTAGCGCGTGTTCCCCATATTTGTACCACTTTTCTACCACCCTTGAGCAAGGCTTGTAAATGTCAGCTACTCTAGTAAAGCCACATGATACAGTGCCTTGCGAAAGTATTCGGCCCCCTTGAACTTTGCGACCTTTTGCCACATTTCAGGCTTCAAACATAAAGATATAAAACTGTAATTTTTTGTGAAGAATCAACAACAAGTGGGACACAATCATGAAGTGGAACGAAATTTATTGGATATTTCAAACTTTTTTAACAAATAAAAAACTGAAAAATTGGGCGTGCAAAATTATTCAGCCCCCTTAAGTTAATACTTTGTAGCACCACCTTTTGCTGCGATTACAGCTGTAAGTCGCTTGGGGTATGTCTCTAACAGTTTTGCACATCAAGAGACTGAAATTTTTGCCCATTCCTCCTTGCAAAACAGCTCAAGCTCAGTGAGGTTGGATGGAGAGCGTTTGTGAACAGCAGTTGTCAGTTCTTTCCACAGATTCTCGATTGGATTCAGGTCTGGACTTTGACATAGCCATTCTAACACCTGGATATGTTTAGTTGTGAACCATTCCATTGTAGATTTTGCTTTATGTTTTGGATCATTGGCTTGTTGGAAGACAAATCTCCATCCCAGTCTCAGGTCTTTTGCAGACTCCATCAGGTTTCCTTCCAGAATGGTCCTGTATCTGGCTCCATCCATCTTCCCATCAATTTTAACCACCTTCCCTGTCCCTGCTGAAGAAAAGCAGGCCCAAACCATGATGCTGCCACCACCATGTTTGACAGTGGGGATGGTGTGTTCAGGGTGATGAGCTGTGTTGCTTTTACACCAAACATAACGTTTTGCATTGTTGCCAAAAAGTTCGATTTTGGTTTCATCTGACCAGAGCATGGTGGCAGCATCCTGGTTTGGGCCTGCTTTTCTTCAGCAGGGACCGGGAAGATGGTTAAAATTGATGGGAAGATGGCTGGAGCCAAATACAGGACCATTCTGGAAGGAAACCTGATGGAGTCTGCAAAAGACCTGAGACTGGGACGGAGATTTGTCTTCCCACAAGACAATGATCCAAAACATAAAGCAAAATCTACAATGGAATGGTTCACAAATAAACATATCCAGGTGTTAGAATGGCCAAGTCAAAGTCCAGACCTGAATCCAATCGAGAATCTGTGGAAAGAACTGAAAACTGCTGTTCACAAACGCTCTCTATCCAACCTCACTGAGCTCGAGCTGTTTTGCAAGGCGGAATGGGCAAAAATTTCAGTCTCTTGATGTGCAAAACTGATAGAGACATACCCCAAGTGACTTACAGCTGTAATCGCAGCAAAAGGTGGCGCTACAAAGTATTAACTTAAGGGGGCTGAATAATTTTGCACGGCCAATTTTTCAGTTTTTTATTTGTTAAAAACGTTTGAAATATCCAATAAATTTCGTTCTACTTCATGATTGTGTCCCACTTGTTGTTGATTCTTCACAAAAAATTACAGTTTTATATCTTTATGTTTGAAGCCTGAAATGTGGCAAAAGGTCGCAAAGTTCAAGGGGGCCGAATACTTTCGCAAGGCACTGTAGATTGTGGTTGTGGGAAGGTTTCAGGAATTAAAGAAAAGCTGCTTGCAAATCAAAAGGTTTGGTCAGAGTTTTACAATCATATGAAAATACTGGTATTAAGTATGTTTACCCCCTTAACCCTGACCTTTTCTTTTCAAAGCCAAACCCCAGAATCTCCTCCTCAAGCAACAAGGACTTTAGCAGAAACAAATTCACCCACTGAATCTGTGCACAGCCTCTGCGGCAGTATGTCATTTAAACTGTGCAGTGACGTGGTCATTGGTGACCTGCTCCTTGTGTCACCTGTATGGGCAGTGTGGATAAAAACAATCCAGCATGCACACATGTGATTGGTTGCTGAGCTGAAGGGAGGTGACGTTAATTCAGACTGACAGTGAGCTGCGTCAGTGACACACACACATACGCTAACACATATGAAGTCTAGCTGAAGAATCATCTGCTGCTGAATATCTCCACAACACACAGGTAAGATAGAATTTCTGGCTTTTAAAAACTAAAAACTCTGAAAATAATCATTCATTTAGTATCTTGAACTGAACAGTACTACAGTAAACATATAATTAAATACACTGATAAAGAAATAAACATTATTGCTTGTATGCAGGTGAAATATAAACTAATTTGAGGCTGAGTTCAGGTTTGCACTTCTTTATACTTGTGTTGCAAGTAATGAAATAGTTTGTTATATGGCACATTCTATATACAGTATAGCAGTTTTTTGTTTATTACTGAAATATTTTTAATGGCAGTCATTTGACAATTCCATGGTTGGTTAGTGAAAACGGGTAAAAATGGGTTTCTGTTAAATGTAAAAGCTTAACAAGATTAAGAAAAGGGGCAAATAATAGGTTGTAGTATTCATTTCTCTAGTTGTACAGGTGCATGAAGTACTCATTTACTTGACTAAAAGTGGAAGTGGTGCTATGTAAAATATACTCCATTAATCATCATTACTATAGTGCCATTATTTATGATTAACATGTAAGCAGCTTGTTGAGGGCCGACAAGTGTTTACAGCTTTTTATATACTGCTGGTTAGCACAATCTGAAACAATGCAGAAAAGTAACTACTTACTACATTTTTTAGATAAATGTAAAGGTGTAAAAAGCACAATATTTCCATCTGAAATGTAGTGACGCTGAAGTTTAAAGTAGCAGAAAGTGTAAATAAAAATTGCACACAAGCACACAACTGGTCTAAATGTACTTAGTTAATTCAACAGTGTGAGCATTTTCTGACAGCCACAGCCTCCTGTGTTATTCAGGAAGAGTGATTCAGTGTTGATCCTGAAACATCAAATGGGTCACCTGTCCTGCAGTTTTTGTTTTGCTCAGCTCAGATCCAATTAGTCCTGCTGACTGCCCTGCCATGACTTCATTAACACACACTCTTAACATTAACCTCAAGGCCTCTGGCTGTCTAACGAGTCAGCAATTAGGACATGGACATGCTTTAATATTTTAATTAAGCAAATGGGATGCAGAATTTCATTGTCATTTAATTGTTAGTGGAAATTAAATCCACAGTGATAAGAGAGCAAAGGTCTGCTTTTAACCCTCTGTGTGCATGTTGACAGTGTAGCTGTCAAGAGAAGCTTGGATCAAAGGATTAGGCTTACTGCGCCTTAGCGGAGCTAACAGGAGAGCTGGTGAGCTTTACCAGCACTGCAGTTGTGATGTATAGAAAGAAAGGGTTTTTAGCAAAGTAAGATCCCTGTGCTTTAATCACAGAGCTGAACATCACCCAGTGGGTGCTATGGCTTGAATAATATGATGCTCTGCATCCTTTTCTAAATCTGGCCGCCATTCCTCTAATGCTGAATTCCTTCTGGCACATAACAGCTGATTCTTAATCTGCTTCTATTCACTCTGTCATTCCATGTCTGTGTCCGTCTGTCTGTCTCAGAACGATGTCAGGACTGAGGCCTGTGGTGCTGAGTGGCCCCTCCGGAGCAGGGAAGAGCACTTTGTTGAAGAGGCTGATAAAGGATCACGAAGGCGTCTTTGGATTCAGCGTGTCACGTATGTTTGTGTGTCAACCAATGACTGGCTTCCTCTGCAACATCCTGTCTGAGGAGGAAGTGGGACAGGGGTCATGGTGTCTAATGCTGTGCTGGTCAGTCAAGCACTGAGTAATTTTACTGATGAACTCCTCTTCTTACAGACACAACAAGAAACCCTCGACCAGGAGAGAAAGATGGCAAAGGTACAGTAGCTCTAGCTCAAAACAAACTTTTTGGTGACACCTTTGTAGTTGTAGATCTACACACAGGTGGGTGGTTGATGTTTTTAGCACCTTTATACTGTATTAGAATCATCATGATCTGTGATTTACCAAGCAGCGGCCCTGGACTGTGATACAAGTGCATTGTATAACGTAGGGTAACTGACAATACAGCTCTTTATATTTTGTTTCTACACCACCACACCATTTCCTAGCCTCTCCTTCCTGCCACAGTAACACCCACAATACTTCTTACTCCCAAGTGAACTGCACAAATGGTTTTGTCTCCTGTGTATACTAGCTCCCTTGATATGAAGGGATAAATGTCTTTCTGTGCCTTTTTGCTCTCTCCATAGGGCTGAACAAGCTCCCCATGCTTCTGGGGGCTACTTTACTGCCTGTAGCAGACATCCTATCCTCTGAAGACTTAGAAATGTCAGCCTCATTTTCGTGTCCAAATGAATCAGAAACCACAGACAAAGGTGACCTCAGTGTGATTCCTGATCACAGTTTTTTCAGGCAGAGGGATGGGGGTTACTTCATCACCCTGGCATGCTGTCGCTGGATTCATAGGGACTAGTCGTGTGACAAATAAAAAGAAAAACAAAAAACATGAAATAATCCAGTCAGGATCAGGATCAGACAGTCTGCACTTTGGAGTAAAAAGCTTTTGAAAATAGGCCCCTGTGATGCCAGTGCCTTGAGGTTTAACTCTCCTGTTTCCCATTGATAGAACACTGATGATTTGTAACCAACCATTAACATCACAGGACAAAGATTCAACACGTGCATCTTTTCTTTAGATACATATGATCCAGCTTTTTCAAACACATCTGTTTAATGTGTTAAAACAACTGGAAAACTGACTATCTTGAAAGAAGCACAAATGCTATTCTTTTTTTCTTTTTTATGAATATATTTTGTTAATCCAGTAACTCAGCGGCTCTGCAGTGGATTTTGTTTTTGACCAAACTGAGGTTTTGATCTTACACAAAAATATTTCATGTACTGCAGTAGTGAGTGTAATTTTGCCTTGTTTTTAGGCTTTCTATCTATCTGTTTACAGCACAGTTCCCGTTCTAGCCAGCATTTCCCCCCAGATTGTTACTTTATTAATCTGAGCAGATTTCATGTTTTCATGCTAATGATTGTGTGCTATTGCAGCGCCTGTTAGTAGTAGTAGTAGAGTGTTTGTGCCTTAAACTTTGCTGCTTTTGATCCTCCAATGTTTTAATGTTGTAAAGATGTAGACTTATGGATCTGGTATGGGCAGTATAAAATCTTCTGTGACTGTTACACTAATGGCATCTTTAGAGAATATGTTGCAAAGACTATTTCTTGTGTGCACGTATTATCCACAGAGGGCATTGACTGCTTTTTACAACATGGCTTAAAATTTATCTCAGAGGTGAACATCATTTACTGAAATACACACTATCATGTATGAAAATTGTGGTATTAGTCAAGTATTAGTGTCTGTGTCTGGACTTGCTTTAATACTTATCATTGCGATGTTCACTGCTTGCTGTGACAAAACTGGGGTCATCCTTCACTAAAATATTTTAATCTATTGCGCAAGTTTTTATGGCAGAGGTGGATTTTTTTATTGATGTTGCATCTTACAGACTACCACTTCACGACGAGAGAGGCCATGCAGGAGGACATTGACGAGGGCAAATTCATTGAAAACATAATGTTTTCTGGCAACATGTATGGAACAAGGTATATTATTTGCACCCCTGTATTAATTTAACAGCAACATTTATTTCTGTAAATTAGTATTATTAATATCCCTGTTCAAAAAGCATTTAACTGGCAGTTTCCTAACAAGCTACTGACATGCCCGGTAGATCATGTATGTACTGTTAACTGTATGATTTCAGTTTTTAATGGTCTGTGTCAGGAGCTTGTCCATCTTGCCTAGAAGAAAAATGTGAAAGAAGAGCCAATTTATTGAGTAAAATTACAACAAACTGAAAAAGTATCAGTGTCACACACTTTGATCAGACTTAATCCAAAAGAAATGAAGACCGTTGACTTATATAAGAGAACACCCTCAGGCTGGGCTGCATGGATCCAGAGGCTACTGTATATAATAGTTTGGTGACACATGGAGCTTTAACACTCCATTAGGTCAAAAGGCACAATGCTAAAGCTCAGCACCTCGTGTATTACGTTTAATCTCTGAGGATAACACACAGTCACTGCAGTGTGGATCCTCTTACCTTAGTCATTACATGTGAGAAGCATAGAATGACATGGTTCCACATTCAGACGTTAAACACAGCTCAAAATGCTCCCAGGTATTAAATAGCTTTACATTTGGTGTAATTTCATACTATAACAATTCTTTGATTCTCCAGTAAAGCTGCCGTAGAAGATGTTCTGGCTAAGAACTTAATCTGCATCTTAGACATGGACATCCAGGGTGTGAAGAAGATTAAAGAGACTGACCTGAACCCCATTTATATCTACATCCAACCTCCATCCATAGAGATCCTGGTAAGTGTCCAACTATATGTACTTCATTAAAGTAATTAATATCCTTGCTTGTGTGAATCACGCTGTGAAAGAGTGATAAATAGGCAAATTTATAACAACATTCATTACACGGTTTTTTGCTAGAAACTGATCAGCCATAACATTATGACCACTGACAGGTGACGTGTCTAACATTGATTATCATGTTACAGTGGCACCTGTCAGTGTGTGGGGTGTATTAGGCAGCAGGTGAACATTCAGTCCTCAATGTTGATGTGTTGAAAGCAGGAAAAATGGGCAAGTGTAAGGATCTGAGCAACTTTGATAAGAGCCAAACTGTGATGGCTGACGACTGGGTCAGAGCATCTCCTAGACCACAGATCTTACTGGTTGTCCCCGGTCTATAATGGTTAGTACCAACTAAACGTGGTCTAAGGAAGGACAAACAGTGAACCAGTGACAGGGTCATGGATGCCCAAGGCTCACTGATGATATTCATATACTGTAGATTAAACTTTTAAATGTCATTCATCCTTTTCAAAAGATTCTACTTAGTTTGAATCTTTGTCTCTATGAAAGGAAATGTTCAATGACTATAGTGGTGATATGACACCTAGAGTTGGGAGGCTGTTGGATTTATCCAAAGAATGACCACATTTTTCACTCCTTTCACTCCAGTTTCTCACTGAATGGTTGACTCATGCTCTTCCTGACAGTATAGCTCTGGCAGCAAACACATTCACAGAGACCCACAGTGAGCTGCAGGGTGACACGAGTGCCAGCCAACTGCCACACTGACTCCTGTGTACACAGTATTAGCCAGGTGATCATAATGCTATGGCTGATAAGTGTATACTTTGAGCCACATTAAATGCAAACAAAGATTTCCATTGAAACATATTCCTAAATACTGAGAGATTGACAAGATTAGGTAATAGAATCAAACTGATTTGCAGAAAAAAATTGGACTTTTACAACTTTGTGACATTATTGAATTGCAAACATCATGACTGATGGCTTGATATTTCATGAAAGAGTCAAAGATGATATTTGTTTCTCAGGAAAAGCGTCTGAGGGAAAGGCAGACTGAAACAGAGGAAAGTTTACAGAAACGACTTGAAGCTGCACGCACTGATATGGAGCTGAGTGAGTTTCTTGGCAGTTCTGCTGGAACATGATGCTGAAATAGAGACAATCACAGCAGCTGGTTGAACTTCTTTTTTCTAGGCAAGGAGCCTGGAATGTTTGATGTTCTTATCATCAACGACAACATAGAACGGGCCTATGACGAGTTGAAAGATATCCTCAATGATGTAAGTAAAATAATACAATATCCTATTTATGTAACAAACATTTTGCTACCATTGTCTGCAGCTGTTGCAGAAACTTTCACAATGCCCTGGACAAGACCATTAATTAAATGCCCACAGTGTAAAAGTATTCCTCATCTCTCTTTCTAAAGGAAATAAAAAAAGTTCAAGAGGCCAAATCATAAGAAGGAAACAGCAACCGTATCTTTTTGCTACTGGACCCACACTGATTCTGGTCTGAATGATCCCTTCTTCACTGACTACACACACACCTGAAATCAACTCTCAGCTGAAGTTTCTTTTATCCTCTACGTAACATGCTCAGTGAAGTTTGGATGGAAATGAAGGACTCTGACTTGTTTTCTCGACTAAGAGAATGTGTGTGTATCCAAACCCACGTATTTCAGTGAAAACAACCTCCAGCTCCAGTTCTATCGTCATCATAGATCAGGTTTAGCACTGGCCTACACACAGATGTGGAGGACTCATCAGTGCCACCACTCAGTACCTAGAATGCACATCATACTGTAAAATAGTTAGAAACTGTTCAGAAAATGATTATACAATAATTTATTTGCCTGTCAAATTCTAAAAGATGGTAGCAACAAATTGTCTTATCAAAGATATGATTCATATTGATGACCAGTGTTATGTCATTACAAAATGGACTCATGATTCAACGATTTACTGTACATGAAGTCACTACATACTGGATATTACATTTAAACACTTGCATGTAAGCATCTATGTGTGTCTGCATACAAATGAATAAAGGAGGACAATGACTGACTGCTTTTGTGACATTTAATTAATCTTCCATTCATTGTTCACCCAATATAGGTTATTAATATGAAACTTAGAAGCATCCAACAAAACCTGTAATCTAATCAATTGACCATTTAGACATTTCAATTTTAATGCAGAAAATGTAGATGTCTTAATTAAATACTGCTTTTTCTATGAAGCAGAATAGCACAGAAAACATCTTTTATTGTAAGGCCAAACTCTCTGACACTGAGGAGTAAAACAACACTTTCTCAAATCTCTCAGTCTGCACTCGCTGCTTAGGCTGAAGCTGTTTCCATGTAAACCAAATCATGCAAAATGCATCACACTCTCACATCTGACCGAATTTCATAAGTACATTTTGAAAACTCATTAAGACCCATCATGTTTTCAGAGGATACTGAAACAATTTTAAAAATCAGGAGCCCCACAAGGAAACATTCAGCTGAAAAGAGGCTGCATAGTTCTAAGAAAAAAATGCTGGTGAAAGAAATTCCAACTTTTTTTTTTTTTATCATTGCTGGAAGAAGGCGTCTTTACTGGAAGAAGGGACCTTGAAGCTTGGTGTGGACCTGGTCTCGTTTCTCCTCCTTCTGCTTGAGATAAGCTTTAAGTTTGTCTGTGGAGAAACACACTTTGGAGCGTCGAACTTTGTGTGGAGCACGATGGGCATGTAGCCACGGGTTGTGAAGACACTCAGCTGCAGTGGGTCTGCCCCTACAAAATCACATTTCCTTATTTTATCATATTTGTTTATGATAAAATATTTCCTAATACCATAATACAACTTCTCTTTCAAATAATATGTGCGTAAGAACAATGAAGACTTGAGTACAGCATCCAGTAGATGTTCTGTAAGTACTGTATTTTCTCATCACACCAGTCCCACAAAATGCACTGCACAGTTGATAATAGTGACTATGGGAGAACAGAAGTTAAGAAATGCTTTGAAAAATACATTGTGAGTTTACTGTATAACAGAGGTGAGTTCAGTGCTAGACCCTTGGCAGTTTGTCTATAAACAGAAAAAGCACAGATGATGCAGCACCACCTTTCTCATCCACTAAAGCATACGCATAGTTTTGCTTTTAATACTCTGCAACCTTATGCATTGCTTAGCGAATTGGTGTAAATGCATGTATTACCAAACTTTTCTTTTTTTTTTAAATATCTAGTTTAATATGTAACAGTAAATGCTGACCGTAAACTGATCAGTATAGATGCTTCCCAGGGGTGTGTGGGTTCCCCAGTTCTCTTCACAAATGTATAGAAATGCTCCAACTACAAACTGAAACTCTTTGACAACACTGCCATTCTTTGGCTTCTGCACAGCGATAAGGATATATCGCTGCACCACAGTGCAATGGTACAGGCTGCTGTCAAGATATATGGATGCAAAGAAAATCATTCTCTTGAGTCTTTATAGGAGAAGTCTGTGCTACTAAAATACAGAGAATGTCCACCTCACACCTTTCACTCTGAACAAGAGCTTTTACCTTATGGTCGACGGGTTAAAGTTCCAACATGCAGACTGAACCATCCAGATTTGAAAACAGTAGCAGTTAGATGCTGTTTAATGGAACCTCACATGGTCACAGAGCACTGTAGAGCAGGGTTTACATTGGCATGTGCAATATTTATTTATTATTGACTAGTTTTATACCCTGTATTGTTTTTTTAAATTAAATTATTGTGTGTTCTTTGAAGCATATCTGGAGACAAATGTGGTGTAGCAAAGCTGAGCCCAAGATAATAAGGTATTTCTTATCTGATCTTATGTATTTTAACAGATAAACTCACCAAGATTTGTTATTTAGGCTGCTCTTCATGAAGCTTAAGGCTCCTTCTGACAGACCGGGGTAACACCGTCCAAACTGGATCTTCCCCTTCTTGATGTTTCTGTCTTGTTCCCAGCTGTGATCTGCATGAAATGGGCTGTCGGCACTCAGCCTAATGAAGAATTATAACACCACTCATATCACTAAATATGTTTAAAAAAACTCTGTGTCACTTAACTCAGAAAATTTTGTCTGCAACACTGTTAACATTTCATAATCCCAGAACATAAACTACACATTACTAACAGAGGTTGAACTACTCAAGCACATACCTAAATTAATATAGATACAGAAAGAACATCCACATGATTTAGCATTTTGTCAACTAATGAAACCTACCTTTCTTCATGAAAAAATATCAGAACTTGTGATGTTATTTGTGTTAACTATTTTGCAGGAATGGCTGCCTTTATTAAGTCATCAATTATTCCACATTTGTTAGTAACATTTTAATTCAACAAACATAGCCATATATTTTCTAAAACTTAGCGTATAGTATCTCTGTACTTACATGATGAATGACAGAACTCCAATAGCCCAAACATCAGTTTCAGGCCCGACACCCTGACCCTCAAGGATTTCAGGAGCTTTAGGAAGGACAATATAAACTGACAAAACAGACAGACACAGGACATTGTTCATACAGTTATTGTTATTGTTAATGGGAAAGCCATGTTCATTCACATGCTGAATTTTTTGTATTAGGAAAATGACTCATCACAAAAAATGGATATAAAAATGCCAGGAAGCTGGACTTGTGCTTGTTAAAATATGGTAGCTAGGATAGGTGGATTAAGTTAGGCTGCATTATTTCTATCCATCAACCTGTCCTCCCTTAAAGAATGTGTACCTTTGCTGCAGCAGTCTGTTGAAGTCAGAGTTTTAGTAGATTAGAGAAATCTACAAGATTTAAGGTTTCACACAAATTACTCAGCCTTTTGAAGTTAAACAAGGAATACACATCAGTACCTCTGCTTTCCGACAGGCCATGGATGTGCTCGACGTTGAGTGGCTGTCCAGGAGTGAAGGACTGAGCTGAGCCAAAGTCAACTATCTTAAGGTGGTTACAGTCATCTACCAGCATGTTGTCAGACTTCAGGTCCAGATGGATGACTCGACGGCTGTGAAGGTAGTCAACTGCACTCAGAATCTGAACCAGAAGCTCTGCGACATGAGTCTCTGCATACAAATCTCTGAAAGGACAGACACACAAACATGTTTATTAAGCTTAACTACTGTATAGCATGTGCCACAAAGGACCACGGGTTGCATAAAACCAATTTAGCCTTAAACCTTCCTTTACCTTGCAGCCAGACTATAGAGCAGCTCCTTGCCGGGACAAAGCTCCTCCACTAACACCATGTAGGATGAGGTGATGTAGGCGGTGTGCAGCTGAACCAGGTGGGGATGGTGAAGCCTCTTCAGCAGCTGGTACTCCCTCAGCACCAGCTGTCTCTGCTCTGCCTGGTAAGGCGTGATCTTGGCAGCAAACACTTGGCTGGTCTCAACATCCCTACACAAGGTTATAACGCTGAAACGACCCCTGAGAGAGAAGACAATTTTAAAAAGTCTGGTGATGAAAGTATGTTGCAAAACACAGGTACTGACATTTTTTGTGCTTAAAAGAGAGAAATAAAGATATTGTGTGTCATCATAAAGTATCTGGTTTAATTGACAAACTGAGTTAAGTTTTAAAATGAAACAAACAAACCATAACAAACAAAGATACAAAAGTAAATATTATGTTTAGGATACGTATTAGTCATTTTGAGGAAAAGAGAGTTTACATCTTCTGTCTTGCTTTAATTGTTGCCTGTATTTAAACTTCCCACCTGTTGATCTCAGAGAGGAAGCTGTAGTTCTTGCGTGTTGCTTGTAGTTCTGACCCAGTGACCTTTGACCCCAGGGCCTCAGTCTGGATGAGAGGAATGTGAGTCTCTATACAGAAAAGTAAATACAGGTGAGATGTTATAACCTTCCATATGTTGTCTCATTGCTGTAAATACTCTGTGAAGCAAAGCCCTGAAACACTGACAATGCATGGTCCTGGCTCAGAAAGACTAAATGTACAGTATGACAGAATAGAAAACACAGAACAGTATGTTCAGGAGTACTTTTCTTGCCTTCAGGGTGACTAGCCAGAACAACAGGCGCTGAAGCATCACTGAAAGGTCCTGCTCCTGTCTTGGTGATGCACCCCACCCTGAACACATAGGATGCTCCTCTTGGTAAGTCCTTCACCACATAGCAGCTATCTGTCACCTCCTCTGACAGGACAGTCCACTCCCCACCTGTGGAGACACACAAGTTTTACAGTGACATGTGCACATGCTGCATATTTAATGCTCTTGTAGTAGATTCAAGCAACAGTGATACTGTACTAAAGGAAATGAAATGATTGTTGAGGTCAGTTTGAACGCAAAAAGGGAAGTACACCATCTTAACATACTAGAAAGTAACAAGTATCAGCTAAGCTCCAGAAAATGTTAACAGGCAAACTGCATTTGTGTCTTCAAATATATTTAATCGTCATAAGAATTCCATTCACCACTTGTGTTGCAAGAACCCTCATGTACTTTTTAAATGAATGTGCTTATTAAACTTCATGGAGTTTTAAGAGTGCAAATTTATAAAATCTCATTTTCATTAGGGAACCTTTTGATCATATATGCAAATAAAATACATTTTATATTCAAGTAATAAGAACTGTCAACTGTATCTAACATAGGCAAATAATTTGTTCATTTTGTTTCCTTTTAACACAAAGTTATTTCTATTTCGGTGCTGCTGTGTCACCTCTGTGAACTCACCATCTGTACAGTACTGCACACAGTAGGTAACAGGGTGATCGGACTGGACTGGTCTCCAAACCAGCAGCACTCCTCCTCCATCTAACTGGAGCACGTCAGCCTTGTTGGGGCAAACTGGCAAATCTGGACATTATGGAGAAAAGTGAATATACACTGCCAGGCTTTTAGCAAAATAATGGCAGTATGACATCAGACTATTTCAGATGGGAAACACACAGTACTTTTACAGTGATATTTATTCACTACCTTTTGTCCGTTTGAATGCAGGAATTTTGAAAGAAGGCAAGATTTTGGAGGTCCTCTTTTTTGGACTCTCAAGACCAGAGCTACTCTCTCTTTCAGGTGTCATGGGAGCTGATCCTTTTACTATTGGCCCTGTTATAAAAGAAAAGCAACAACAAAAGGAAACATTAGAAATAAAATAGACTGGATAAAACGACTGTTAAATGCACAATATAGCAGAACTGAAACCAGGAAGAGATCAAGTAAATACAATTAAAGGGATAAAGCTCTTCTCCCAATCTGTACATAACATATTTTTAGCTCTCACCTCATATTTTTCTGTGCAATGATAAAATAAAATCTCACCTCCTTTACTCACATCCTCCTTACTGTAAGATCTGGTAAACAGTTTGGTCAGGCTGGAGGCTGAGGCTCTCATTTTTTTCCTTAGAGACATGGTGGGTGTATCAGGCTTCATGATTTCTCCTAGTGTGGGTCCTAGCCCTGTGTTTTGCAGCTGTGAGTATGAATGGCCCGTCCAGGATTGCCTGCGAAAAATCTTCAGCAGTCCCAGTCTGGGTGACTTTCCTGTGGATGGCTGGACTTCCAGGGCTGGAGCGGATGCATGCCTCTGAAGGCCATAGTCTGCCTTTTTGTCTCTGACCCTGGGAGGCCTTTCTGGAGCTTTGAGAGAGGAGAGGCTGGAACTGGGGCTCGGAACTGGTGGGGTCCTCATCTGACCTCTGCTGTTTGTAGACAAGTTGGGGTTAGAGCGGGTGCGGTTACGTGGTGGTGCTTGGGGAAATGAGGTTCTGGGTGTAACTTCTTGGAATGAACAAGAGGATGATGAAATCAGATGATCCCCCTGGTCATCATACCCTTCATTCTCTCCTGATTTGTATCTTCCTCTGAGGTGGCCATGACTCAGCTCCTCATACGAGCCTAGTCTACTTGAAGACTCAGAGCCGCCGTGCTCCAAAATAGAAGACTCAGCCAGAGACCCCTGGGAGCCAGCAAAAGTATCTCCCTCTGTCTGCTCCTGATCCAGCCTGGTTCTCATTCGATCTCCTGCAAGGCAGCTGGAGGGAGCAGATGTTCCACCCAGTGTGTGAGTCTCTTGTATTGGAGCATCAGAGCCTCTTCTTCTTGGTGGTCGCTGTGGACTTGGGATGGCCAGAAAGTTTCCACCTGCCACTTCATCATCTGTAAAATCTTCCTTCAGACTTTGAGAGCCTTCTTCTTCTTCACCTGGTGTTGTGCGGCTGGGTGAGCTGGGAGATCGACGAGAATACTCATCAAGGGACCTGCTCCTCCTGTGAGTTGGGACATTGGCAAAGACATGGTCAACTCCACCATCAAATGAGCAGGACTTCTGCATTGTGGGCTGGATAGATCCCCGTCTCTGGCCACGACTGGTTTCAGTCTCATCCTCCACATATTCAATGAGAGGCTCGTTGAGACGTCCTGAGCGGCTCCTCCTGAGTGGTTTGCGGCCCCTCTCCTGCTTTTTGGCCTGGAATTTATCCCGTAATGACATTTGTCTGGCAGACATTGGTGAAAGCTGATGAGAGGTGCTGTAGAAAGTGCTTCGGATGACGCTCCCCCGAGGGATACGACTTCCATCACTCCCTGAACCTTCTTCCCCTTCGGACAGGTGGAAAGACGAACTGCTGTCCTTGCTGAACCTACGCTCCAACTGTGGTGTCTGTTGGCAGGACACATCTGATGATGCAACTGAGTGCCTGCTGATACTTCGCTCTAATGCATTCTTGCTTTTTACCATCTCCCCATCCTCCTGTTCCCCTAATGTGACTTCCTCTTCCTCCTCTGCCTCTAGATGGAGTTTGGTAAAAGGCTCAGGGATCTGTGTTCTCTCCATTACAGGGTCATAGTCCTCCTCTGTTTCCTCTTCCTCCTCTGTTGGGCTGCAGTGATGGAAAAAGTCCCAAGAGTCTGTCTCTTCATACTCAGATGAGGAGCCACTGCTCAGAGAGGTGCTGCTGTGCTCTTGGGGTTCACGCAGCACCGTCACTGAAGTCTCTCTGAGAGGAGCGTCCAGCAGCTCAGGGATGGGCCTCAATGTGAGAACTGATCCGATGCAAGTCAAAGACTTCTGTGGTAATAGAGAGGAAAGAAAATGTTGAAGACATACAGACATACAGACAATAAGGAAATTATATAATCTACGGTGGACCCTGTTTATGTAAACGTCAAGATGATCAACATTATGAAGAACCAGTTAGTACCTCATTTTTTTCTCCAGAGGATGACATTTTGATGACAGAGAGACAACTCACCTGCCATTTCCTTTTTGAGATGAAGACTTTCAAACTCTTTGTGCTGATTTCATCAGTGTCTTCTCCTGCATGCTCATCCTGAACATAGTTACAAAGATTTGAGTGTTTAGTTATCTTACAGTTATTGAATACAGTAAAGCTAAAATGAAACACATTGCATTGTGTGTCTTCTCACCTGGAACCATTCATGGCTCAGGCACTCAAAGGCAGATGGCCGTTTCCTAGGGACAAGAAAACTGGGAGTGATCACATGTATGCTAAATGTGTATGCTGCAGCTGAAACCAGGTCTAATAGTGTTGTTAATGACTACTATTAATGACGCTACTCCAGAGGTGAAAAGTAACTAAGCACATTTAGTTAACATACATAATTACTAAGTTTTGTTTTGCATTGCTGCAATATGATTTGGCATTGATACCACTGACACAAAGTGATCCCTATACTGTATGTGCATTTGTGAAGTTGCAGTGTAAGCAATAATAAAGGAAAGGTTTCCTACTCTGGATCTGGCTGAAGGACCATGTGAAGAAAGCCCTGGGCCTCAGGACTCCTGCACATGACATCAGGAGCATCCCAGTTCAGGGTCCCCTCCCCAACTCTCAGCAGAGTTGCACGGTCCGTCTCACTCACAAAAGGGCATCGACACACCAGACTGTCAGGATGAAGATGAAGTATGATGTAGATAGCTAACAGAAACTTAGAACTCATGTGTTCATTTCTGATATACTTTAAGATTTTGAGAGTATTATCAAACGTGCAGTGACAGTACATACCACAGATAGGCTACAACACCCACAGCCCTGACAGAGGGAATAAGAGATATTAATGTAATGTCTTATGTTGATCTGTAGTTTACAATTGTACATGGTTCCGTTGCAAATCAAATTGTTATTTAAATCTGCATGTAACACCAGAGTGGCAGGTCAACAGCAACTGGAAATTCATCAGTGTTGAACATAATAAACTTGCACACATATTAAAAACACACACCTCCACCTATCTGATACCATTCTCAATTACCAGGTTACTCACCAAATATCTGTGGCCACCGTAACTGGTTCTTGGTGAACAATCTCGGGTGCAACAAACTCCGGTGTGCCAAACATACTATACTGGTGTCTGGATGTGTCTATTTCTTGGCAGAAGCCAAAATCACAGATCTTGATCTCATCTCTTGGTGGATATACCATTAGGATATTATCAGGCTGAAGAGAAATATAAATAAAAGTGGAGTTAAAAACTGCATTTTAAAAAAGTGCACACTCGATAATGCAGTGTTGGCTGCACTGGAAATCTCACTTTAATGTCCAGATGCAAGATGTTCATGCTGTGAATGTGACCAACTCCTTCAAGAATTTGTTGAATATATGATTGAACCTGAAATAAAATGCAAAATTTCAGTCAAGAGGCTTGCATAATATTTCTAAAAAAATGTTTTGTAGGGAATAAACATTAGCTTGTACCTCTCTCTCTGAGACTGATCCTCTCAGTAATAAATGGTCTACAAGTCCATGAGAACAGCAACTATAAATGGTGTTAAAGAATTCTTACCTGAATACAAATTTAACAAACTAAACCCCACAGTGAGGTAAATGTGGTAATATAAGATTAAACAAAGAGGATACAGTTCTGTGATTAGCACCAGTGTGTGTCTGGTGCAAAAGAAGTCCAGCAGACATGCCACTCTGGGATGAGCCAAACGCGAGAGCAAGTCTCTTTCCTGGAAGGCCCTGGTCCGAGTACTGCTCCGCAAGGGCAAGAACTTGGCAGCAAAGATTTCACCTGTTCTTCTGTGGACTACACGCTTCACTACCCCAAAGGTTCCCCTAAAACAAAGAAAGATGCTGGCGTTCATGTCAAAGCTTGGCAGAGCAGCTTGGACATTGTCAGCATGATGGAATGGTTTACCTTCCAATTTCCTCATGAACATCATAGACAGAGAATAACTTCCTTCTCTTCCCCAGCTCCACCTCTCTCTCCTGACCCTCCAGTGGACCTACAAAGAAACCACAACCTGTGTTCAAAGATGGTGAATCACACTGACTAACAACATTCATTTAGATTTGCTGTGTGGACTGGCTTACTGGAGGAAGTGACAAGTATACAGTTATCTGACATGTTTCATACCAAAGAAACCTTAATTAACAGTGCATGTTGTTGGCGCACCTTCCTCGACTGCAAGCTGAGCCTGGCATGAGGCATGGCCAGAGTCATTGTAGGCAAAGCAGGTGTATATGCCGCTGTCTTCACCCTCAGGGCACACTATGGTCACTGAGCAGCGGGCACCATGCTGCACTATCTCCACATTCTCATTGGATATAAGATTCTCTCCATCCTACAATCATATAAGAAGAGTAAAGTTTCAATAGAATTCTTATTAGTCCCTTTAGTCAGTTAACTGTGGTCAAACATTTTGCATTGTGTCCTCCTCAAACAATGTCATGACCTCATACTGTGAGTATGAGGAGTGGAAACGTGCTTTCCTTTTCAGGTTTTGCAGTTCTCAGAGAGGCTGGGAACAGTTTCTCTAAAAGATGATGAACTAGAGGATAATTAGCAGTCAGGTGTGACATCAACAGTAGTTGTGGTTTTTTTTATCTGAGATTGTTGGCATGCTGTGTTTCTTAAGGGCATCACTGTGAACATTTGGAAATCACTGTGGACCTACCTTGTACCACTTTATCTTAGGAGTAGGTCTTCCTGTGATGATTGCTGTAAATGTAGCTGGCTGGCCGGGCTCTGCACACAGGTCCTCAGTAGGTACCTGGATGGAGGGAGGAGCTGAACAGGAAATTAGATCACTTAGTTAATCATACAAAGCTTGGTAATAATCCCTGCTTTATGTTTAAGAGACAAGAGTACCATCTGTAATTTCTTGCATTGGCTCTGAGATATAAAGCTCCTCCTCCTCTTCTTCTGCATAAAGCCGAGGCTGCTGTACTGTCAGATCCATGAATGTAGAGGCAGGAACAGCCTCTTCAGCACTGCACTCAGCTCTGGAGACAACAAAAAATTAAAAGAAAAAGGTCACTATTTACTACTACTGATCGATCATAATGGTGTGAAATAATTCATTTTTATTAAGTCACAAAATAAACAATTGAAATTCTAATTGGTTAGAGAAGTCAGTTCCATTCAAAACGTTTTAGAAGCTAATATCTCTTCACTGCTGTTCAACAAGTCTGGGTCACAGGAGGTTTTGACAGCACCTCTCCACATTAAGACAAGTTTTGAAACTTATTTCTACAACAAAAATATCTGAAAAAAAGTTACATGCTGTAGTTTTAAATCAAGATTTTTACCAGTGGAAAATAAAATGTATCAGGTTGTAGCTGAAGCCTATTTACTTCAAAGAAAGGGAAGGAAGGTAAAAAAAAAAAAGTAAGTTTTACATAACGTACTGTTCAGGGTGTTCAGGAGGGAAAAGCATCTTGGCAACAGAGGTGGGAGTAAAATCAGTCTGTAACCATTTCTTCACAAAGGCAGTGGACCAGCCCTCTGAGTCAGCATCTACAAAAGCCAAAACACTGTTTGATAGAATTCTAGGGTATGTATTTGTGTCAGTATTAGAAGTATATAGAGGTTTTTTAATATATTTAAAGGAATTTTCACTTAACCTTGACTTCTACCATTATGAATAACTGGAAAAGGAAATGTTTAAAAAGTACATTACCTTACAGTCCAGGAAAAGTAATATTGCATTTCTTACCTCGGTACTTGAGGGTTTAACCCAACTAACCCACCACATCAGGAGGACATGGGCACATGCCCACTACTGCATGGGCGTAAAGGGAACACCTGTCCAGCACATGACCATCTTGTGTTTGTAGGAGTGAAGAGTTAGCTGGGCATAAGTTGGCAAGAGGAAAGGGTGCAATGTTGACTGGTTATTTGTTATCATGACAATGATGACTTACATGGAACAATCCATGTGAGGAACTTCCTGCTTTAGGACCAGTAGAGGGAAGATGGAAAAACATGTATGTTATGGACAATGGAAGGGCAAAACATGGTGAACTGGAGTTGAAAAGTTAACCTTATAGTCCATGAAGTATTTCATATGTCAAACTTACAGCAGATTTTCATCAACATCTCATTACACCATGTGATTTGGCTGCATTACATTCATCTCTTCTCTATTAAACTACTTTTATTGCTGACCCAATGAGATAGTAACAGTAACTGTAAATTAATAGATACTAGCACAACTGTAAAATCACTACAGAATATACTGTAGGATAGTAATAGCAGTATTTGTTTTCTCTATAATTAAATTACTGCTACTAGCTATGGTAACTCAGAGGCTGGGCTGGATGTTAACGAGTCCAAGAGAGGAAAATGATCTAGTCGGTTTAAATCCATGCCTTTTATGAAAAGTGGAAACATGATAAAAACATTCCATACAACACATGCATCAGTGAATGTCCTTGCACTGGTGAGTATGCTTGGAAGTACAATATGATGTCTATGTTCAATGGTATACTAGATCTCAGTATGTTATGGCAATAGATGCTTGTTTAGACATAGTTGGAGAGAGTTATGGTTAGGTTTGAGGTGTTTTTTTCACATGACTCTAACAGTCAAAATGGAAAAAACACAAGTAAAACAAATGTTTATGTGAAAATGTTTAAAATCTCTTTCATTCATACCACCATTTAATGTAGTGAATAGGTATGAATTCATGTTTGCTGCACAGATTGTAACTGCTCATTCTTTTTGTTCATCCATTTGGTATTCACCCAGGCTGCTGGGGGTATAATGACAACCGATATGGTCATTGTAACTAGTTATGTTTGAGTGTGTGTGTGAAAAATGAAAGTGTGAGTAAAATCTCACAATACTGTAAACTTGATAGAATGAATGAGTGGTAGTGGTTGAAAGTGGAAATTGATGCAAATAACTTGCAACGTTTGTTGTAAAGTGAAGAGATGTCACATGAGGTGACACAAAAATGGGTGAGAGGATCAGAAGTGAAACAAAACAATGGCATGTGCTTCATCCCTTCTCAACCACAGCTGAACTAATGAAGGTGTGGATCCACATGAAAACCCAGTGATAGGTTCCCATCTTGTGTGGAGGATATTTACCTTCAGGCACTCTGCCAGTCATACCTTTAGGAGGTAAGTCCTGTGGCTGGTCATTCTCCGTGTAAACAGGTGGTACATAGGCGGGGCACAATCCTGCCTTGCACTTGACGCAGCCAAACTCATTCCAAAGCTAAACAAAAAAGGCATTGGATGTATTGTATCGTAAAGGGAAATCTCTGATATCAAAGACATTGACTTTCTTGAGAAATTGCAGACTTTATGTATATAGGTTTTATACCTCACATTCATACTGTCCAATATCTGCATCTGTTGCACTTATGACCGTCAGACACAAAATTCCACTTCGTGCATCATTCACAATGGAATATTTCTGATGATCAGCCAACTCTCTTCCGTCTTTCAGCCACCTGCCAAAGATGTATACATTTGGCACATACAATGACCAGCAGCCATAGAGCAACTACTGTGGTTACAGTACAGGTTTATTTTTGCCATACCTAATCCGTGGTAAAGGAGTAGTGGGCGTGGAGCAGGTAAACTGGATATCCTCTCCTTCTACCAGATAGGCACTCTCCAGCCGACTCATAAATCTGGGTGGAGCTGAAGAGAAGAACAAATACAATGAGTTTTCATCTGTGTCCCTATGATTAAAAGAATAGTTAGACCAATAATGGAAATTATAGTAAAAATGGTAATTGTAGTAGTGATAGTATAAGTAGGTATAGCAGTAGTAACTGTAGCAATAGAACTAACATTAGCAATAGCAGTAGTAGTTTTAGAGGTAGTTACATAGGAATTGTAGTGAGCAGTGATCTGCAGTCCCACACTGTAGCAGCCCTGTGTTCCTCTGTGACAGTGCTTATATTGTATGAACAGCATTTGTCTATGCACAGACACAGACAGGGCTGTATATATAACACACCCCTTGATGCTCAGGTGGATCCACAGACTCACCCTGCACCACAACCTTTGCCAGAGTACCAGCACTACCCATCGAGCTGGTCGCGTAGCATGTATACTGTCCAGAATCCTCCGCAGTGAGGCTGTCCAGGATAAGGTTACAGGTGCCGGACCGGTCTGCTGTGATGATGTGACGGGGGTCATCCTCTAAAGGAAGGCCATCTGAGAGGTAGACAGACTTCTAACTATGAAACCATGATGACTGTTTTGGAGTGTATATAGTCAGTAAAACTTGTCTGATAAACTAGAGTGAGAAAACCCAGTGGGTAACAACAAGAAACAGTAGAAAAGGATCCAAAATACATATACATGAATTTACGTAAGCCTTTTCTGACCTTTGAGCCAGCTGATGGCTGGTTTTGGTGACCCTGTGACCTTGCAGGTCAGTTTGACTGTTTGTCCTATCTTTGCTGTGAGGTCAGACAGCAATGACTCAAATACTGGTGGCCCTGTTAACACATACACAAATACAGAAAACACACACCCAAGCAGTTTGTGGAAAACGAACAGAACAAAAGGCAACACCTTTAGTCCCCCAAAAATAATAGATAGTTGGTTCAAAACATCCTATGTTTATGTAATCCTATAGTTGGTATTTTTACCAGTAGGGCATACTGTAAATAAATAGGAAAAGATCTGATAAACATATTTCAGTGTCAAACTTTATTTGGTGTTTCAATTAACTTACGGTTAGTTGGCAGGCTGGAGCGCTGCTGTAGCTCCTTTAGGTCCTTGAGCCAGGAGAGTTTAACCAAGGTGGAGCGGCCCTGCAGTGTGTACCTCCGCATGGAGCCCCTGTGCTCATGCCACAATCCCCAAGACTTTTCATCTACGCCCACAGTCTCCTTTATTTCCACATCATTCAGCTAGGCAGACAACATAAGTGAGAATGAGAAAGACGAGTGAGCGTGAAGATGACAAGAGCTTGAAAATGAGAAGAAAATGAGAGTACACAGTAGTGGAGTAACTGTGGCCAGCTGAGGCATTTCTGATTTGTACCGCTTCACCTACTGTAGAAACAGATCTTACCTTCATTTTGTTCTTGAAGGTGAAGGTATCACTGTTCATGCTGGTGTCTCTTTTCAGTTTACACAGTACAACACATTCCTTGAAGAGAAAGACCTGTCTCTGATGCCCTCTAGAGGCTGCCTTAGTTTCTGGAGATTCCTCCCAAACGGTGAAACATCCCTGGAGGAAATAAGTGAGCACTGTACAGTACGATGACCACATGTGACTCAGGGTGTTCATGTTGGACCCAGAGCCCTGCATATAAAAAAATGCCAGTCATCTGTAGTTACCTGTCTCACAGGCTCACCCAGGGCGGACAGAGGAGCTGGGTAGTTCTCAATGTGGGACACCTGGTCCAGGTTGCCAGATCTCCAAGGTAGACAGGACACCATGGAGAAGGCATCCTCTAACAGACAACAGCTCTGACCACTTTTGGCTTTATTCTTGATTAACTCCTGCCAATAAAGTTGTACAGTATAACTGATACACTTTCAAGAAGCAACTACTATGTGTGCAACAGCAGACCAGCTTAAATGTTTAGTGTTAAGTTTCAATATATATCCAGTATGCAATTATTTATGTTTCTCTACAATATTCATGTATGTTTGAGAGTTGCCAGATACTGACCTTCAGTAAAGCCTGGTAGGTTTGAATCCTCTCTACCGGTCGCTGGAGGAAAGTAACCACATCCATATCTAGAGCATCAGGCTTACCAGATTCTGTTAATTCCTGAAAGGTGATGAGCACCATAATAAAAAGAACATTACAGTAGATGAGTGCAATAATTCAGCATTTCCACCCGTTCCTTTCCAGAACACTTATGTTAAATGTCTGTTTAACAGATTCTGTGAATACTTTAAAATACTGTTGAGTAGCCTTGTCAGTGATACAGGCTTCTGCTTGTGCTTGTCCCACCATGTAGTGAAGATACTTCTCAAAGTCTTCAGCGTGTTTGAGCAGATGCATGGCCACATCATCGTCTGTGGCACAGTCTCTCAGACCAGGAAGGATAGACCTGAGAGGAGAGAATATTTTACATAAAACCAGAGATAAAATAATGTCAAAACAGAGAGACACTGGAAAGCAACAAACAAACAAGGCTCCATATGTGCACAGATAAATGATCTTTACTCTTAAAAACAAAATCAAGGAGATGTGGAGCTGAATAGGAAGTTGATCAAGTATGGGCATATACAGTTAATTTTTGACTGATGAATGCTGATTTTATTGATTAACCTGGTTTCATATTAACATATTCAAATGAGCTTTATACTAATTACATGCAATGAAAGTACAATATGTTTCTTACCTCTCATGCAGAAATAGAATATCCTTGATATTCCTGAAAATGATCTCTTTCTGGGTGAGGATGTTAACAGGGACATGGCAACTAGAGTCCAAATAGTTTAGCTGGTAAGAGATGAACATCTTCATCTCCCTTACAAACTCCTCTTCTCCATCAATCAAGCCTTGGACCAGTTGGCTAAAGAAAGTGGGAATTTTATTTAATTAGATGTAAATCAACAGTATTCATTTTTGCAGTTTGCCTCTGGGATTTGTAATTGGAACAAATACCTTCTCGGTAATCATAAAAACCCTCAAAATATATTTGCCCGTATACATGTATCCAGTAGCAGCAAACAAAAATCCAGTTTTGGTTTACTGAGAACCCGTGTGGGTGGGTGCAGGAATACAATATTAATATAATAAAATCTCCATAATAATCATTTTAAGACAGCAAAAACTTCTAAATCAGTAGTGCCCTTATAGCTTATGTAACCTGTCATTGCATAATTGCAGAGGGACCAACCTAAAAGCTCTCCTGTACTCTTCTATAGGCCCAACTCCATCAAGATCCTCTTGAGGTGCTCTGAACTGTGGGAATGTCTCCTGTTCAAAAGACAGTGATGTATTTATGATTAAAACCCTTTATTGTTGTTAACCACACAACCTTTATAAGAGTCAAGCTTCAGGATATCTTAACTAGCTGACAGCTAGATTTTTACATCCTACCTTTCTCTTTTTCTCCAGGTAGGCAGGACACACCCATCCCTGTCGAGCTGGATTGGTTTTGGTGGGTTTGGTCCTCACCAGCCATTTGTCAGGATGAACAGAATCCAGGACCTCTACAAACTGGCCCTCCTTCAGAATAAAACTATCCTTATGTCCACTGTTGGGATTGCAGTCAGCTCGAGCCACGTACATTTCAAATGTCTGAGGGAATAGATAAGAAAATGCAGTAATCAGATTGTAATCTGATTTCTTACATAAATGTTTACAGAGCAAAAGATATGCTCATAAATAAAGTATATACTGTACATCTAAAATTTTAAAAAATGCTAAGCGTACCTCTTGCCTTTCCTCTTCCCCTTCAGACTCTGATGCAGAGACAGTACTAGCTACGGGTGTGTGGGCATGATGGTGCTTTGGAGATGGTGTCCTCATTCTGTTTTCATGAGCCCCTACAAACAAGCAAGGAAGACAGTTCTGGTATATTTGATAGAAACTGGAGATGAAATTGTAAAAAAAAAAAAAAACATTGCTGACCTTTGACCTTCATTAGTTTCTTAGGAGGTTGTGGCACAACTATCTCTTCAGTTTCGTCCTTTGGAGGTATTTGGTCTGTTGGTTTTGGCACTTCCCTGTGATAATATTGAAAAGTATTTTTGGGGCATTTTTATGAGCACAGGATACACAACTGGTAATGGGCAAATCTTTCCTGTTGTACTCTAACCTTGGCACAGGTGGGCCAGTATCAACATAATCCATTATATCAGGAGCTGTGTCATATTCTGAGGGACTTGACACTGTTGAAAGCAAGAAATTATTTGTAGTATACTGTAGATAAACACACCCTTTGTCATTTCACCTAGGGTATAAATGCATTACTCACTGGAGCTGGTAGCAATGACTGATGATCCTCTCCTCTCATGTAGGTTCCCTGGTGTATCCCGCTCCGTCAAGTTGTAGGCCTCCCATAGAGAAATGCTCACACTTTCTACATAGCTTGCAGCATCTGTAGCTGAATTGGGTAACTGAGCTTGAGTCTGAGACACATTCTGAGGCTGTGATTTGGCCTGGGCCTCAGGCTTTGGTGGTGCAAGCTGCAGAGGAGTTATGGCTGCAAGGGGTGGGTGTACAGGCTTCTGGACTATTGGAGAAGGCTGCTGAGGCTGTACTACTGTTATATTTCCGTTGTACGAGGACACACCAAACTTATTCACCACTTCACAGGTATAAATTCCACTGTCATTGGTGGTCAGGTTTTTGATCACCAGTGTGCATATACCATTCTCAGTGGTCTCAGTACAGCATCGCATGCCATTGGTAATTTCTTGGCCATCTTTCAGCCAGCGCACTGTGCTGGGTTTTCCTTCTACAGTACACACCAGAGTGATTGTACCATGAAGATCCGCACTCTGGTTCTTAAACACCTCTTTAAAGACTGGTCGCATGTCTTTGCGTGTTTTGTAGCCTTTGAAGGCTGCCTGGATCTTGACTGCAGCCTCTTGCATTTGTGGTTCATCCTCAGTACTGATGTCAATCTCTGGAGGAGCATCCTTGAATGGTTGCGTTTTCTGGAGTGGGGGAAGGGCAGAGGGCTGGGTTGACCCCTGAATAAAGGAGTCAACAGGCTGGACATTGTTGTCACTCACTGGTATCTCAGTTAAAGCCTCTGAGAAGGTTTCATCTTCAGAAATATAGAGAAGGAGAATGTCTTCTGACATGGTTGCTGTCTGTTGTTTTTGTTCCTCCTTCCTCAATGGTTCAACTGCCACTTTCATGTCAGCTTCATTTTCTTTTCTCATGGGTTTTACTGGCTCCTTGATTGGTTGTTTGGCGTCTTCATCTGCAACATTCCCAGACCACCTTACTTTCTCAGCTATTTCAGTGTCTGTTGTTACTGATGGTTTCCTCTCTAAATCTGGTTTTGCTTCAACCTCCTTTTCCACAGGCTTTACTGACAATTTCACTGGCTGATCAGTCACTGCTTTGACCATACCCCTCAGCTCTAGATCATCTTGATCTGTCCCAGTGTCCCTTGATGATTGCTTTTGGAGACCTCCCTTTAGTTTACTTTTTGCCCTCATAGGTGGTTTTGGAGGACCAGCTTCTTTTTCTGAATGCTTTTCTGGTTGTTCTTCTGTTTGTTTGTCCAGGTCATTTAGAGAAGGCACTTGTTCTAGTGCCATTTTCTCTATCTTTGCCTCTCTGGATTCTTGTTGTTTTACATGTTCACTATGTTCATGGTGTTCTTTTGAATAATTTTCCAAATCCTTTACCTGGGATATGAGCTCCTCAGTTTCCTTTGGAAAATATATAAGTGGTTCTTTTCCCTCTATTGCCTTTCCTTTTAATCTTGCTGGCGGTTTTAAAGGTTCTTCTGCTCCAGCTTCCTTCACTATGAATTTTATATCTAGTTCTGTAATTGTTTCTTTTCCAGTTAACCTTTCTGGTGGTTTCAGAGGCTGTTTTTCATCCCCAATGTTTTTCCGTGGGATTATCCCTGGAGGTATCATCTTCTTATCAACTTCACCTGCTTTCTCTGAAGGCTTACTTATTTGTTTGGAGCTCTGTTGAACTTCAGTTTTCATTTCTGAACATATTAAAGGCTGTTTCTTTTGATCAACCATAGTGTCACCCAGAATCCTCTCAGACTGACTTACTTTAAGGTCAACTTTAGCCAATTTCTCCAAATTCCTTCCTGGTTGTGTCTTCTCCAGGAAAACTTCACTTTCTGTTTCCAAAGGTCTACATGGTTCGTCACCCTTCCTATCAATGCCATTATGCTCCAGCAATCTCACTGGCTTATCAGCTTTCTTGTACACATCACTGTCTTGTGTTACATTCTGCACATCAGAGTCTTTCTCATTAGTCATTTGAGCTTCATTATATACCCTTGGCATAGACTGTTTAAGATCAAACAAAGGTTCCACATCTTTTTCTAAATTTGTAATAGATGCCTTCCTATTAGTCCTCTTTTTAGGCTCTGGTGGAACAGGTATGGCCTCTGCGAGGCAAGGCTTCTCATTATCCTGAGTAGGCAGTGGTTTGGAAACAGTGCCCTTTGGCCGAGGTAGTATTGTGTTAAAATCTGCTTTTGTTGGAGTGGGATGTAGAGCTAGGTAAGAGAAAGACAAAATGTTGACAGCTGTTTGTATGGTGGAAGTTGAGATAAAATAATGCATTTTGTTGATATGACTTAGCCATTTAGGTATCAAACATTACAAACCATTCACTGCCACAGTGGCACTGGTCTCTGCACTTCCTGCCTGACATGTGTAGCTGCCACTGTCCTCAGGTTTGAGATCCTTGATGTGGAGCTGGAGGAGGCAGCCATCCTGCTTCATCTCATACTTCCTGCTGGCTCTTAATAGAAGACTGTTCTTCTTCCATTGCACTGACATGCAAGGTTTAGATACCTCACAGTACAGAGAAGCTGTACTTCCCTCCTCAGCCTCCACAGTTTCTAAGTCTTGCTTGAAGTACAGTGGAAACTCTGTAAAATGGATAAGGATTAAAAAAATATAATTAAACCTCTTTAGTATAATAAGAAAATGCATAAGAATATAACCAGAAGGAGAGAATTGTGTATTTAATAGATAAGATATCAATACATTTGTGGCACTTTACAATCACCATGGGAGTGCAATATAAGCAACAAAATACATACCAATACATTTAAACAATCACAGAAAAGTACTTGTTGGTTACATAAATGCACACAATGGACACACCTTTTACTGAAATGGTTGCTCTGGTCTCTGCACTTCCAGCATGACATGTGTAGCTGCCACTGTCCTCAGGTTTGAGATCCTTGATGTGGAGCTGGAGGAGGCAGCCATCTTGTTTCATCTCATACTTTCTACTGACTTTCAGTGGCAGCTTGTTCTTCTTCCACTGCACTGACACCCCAGACCTTTGTGGCACTTTACAATCACCATGGGATTGCAATATAAGCAATACAATACATACCAATAACTTTAAACAGTCACAGAAAAGTACTTGTTGGTTACATAAATGCACACAATGGACACACCTTTTACTGAAATGGTTGCTCTGGTCTCTGCACTTCCAGCATGACATGTGTAGCTGCCACTGTCCTCAGGTTTGAGATCCTTGATGTGGAGCTGGAGGAGGCAGCCATCTTGTTTCATCTCATACTTTCTACTGACTTTCAGTGGCAGCTTGTTCTTCTTCCATTGCACTGACATGCAAGGTTTAGATACCTCACAGTACAGAGAAGCTGTACTTCCCTCCTCAGCCTCCACAGTTTCTAAGTTTTGCTTGAAGTATAGTGGAAGCTCTGAAAAATGAGTAAGGATTCACATTGAGAGCCGCTGTACCAGAGTCAAATTCCTCATGTGTCCAACACACTTGGCCAATAAAGCTGATTCTGATTGTGTTATAATTAAACCTAAATAGTATAATGAGAAAATGCTTAAGATATAACCAGGAGAGAACTGTGCTTTTAATACCTAAGGTATCAAA